TTTTCTTCTCAGAAATGGCCGAGAGACACAACGTCCCCCAGGTCTTGATGATGGCCCGAGACTTGGTCCACAAAGTGCAGACGCTCATAGAAAACAAGTGATGCAGGATGCTGCTGGTTAACACCCACAATTCTTTTGTGCTAACCTGTCTCAGAGATAACAACCGAACCACGTTATTGTCGTATATTCCACAGAAAAGGAAATGATGTAAATGAAAAGCGCCGACAAGATAACCGATCATTAAAGCTGCTTGTTATTCAAAGGTAGTTGTAAAACAACTTCTCACCACTTGCTCCTCTCTGTTTTTGGGAGATGCAGTTATTGCCAGTAAAGTTATTTTTAAAAGTGTTTTTGGTCACTTAGTGAATGTACCCTTGTTGAAACTGCTTCAGGATGTTGTTTATTTTGCCTTAAAATTTGCTATTTTTTCAGGGATACAGCAACCAAATTCTTCACTGCATTGATATTCTCCCTAATGCGTTCGGTTAAGTTATGCATCTTGTATACACTTAAATATATTTTCAGTATTGTCATTTACTTAGCTGAAATTGTAGCTGCCATGGTTAAACATTTTGTGATACACTTGAATAGTTTTTTTTCAGTGATGTACCTGGCGTCACGGGATGATTTGCAAACGTTGCAGGGTTCTACCGGCTGGCTTATCTGATGTTAAATAGGTGTTTGCCTCTGATGCACACAAGATTGCAGGATATGCAGACCTGGATTCTGTGTAGCACCTCGTAATTGCACATAGTTTCCATATACTGTATCACAATTTCCTCTTTCAGCTGGTCACGCTCTCATAGTCTCCTCTCCTGTCTCCCACCTCCTCTATGCATTAGTTAAAATGATTTAACTGTTGTCTCTTATCCCAGTTAGTATTCCTCCTGCATGCTGTCATTGAAAACCTCCTTCTTCTTCCCTTAAACTACACAGTGCTGCTCAGGCTGAACACGTCAGCTATCGTTTTCATAAAATCAAAGGATAAAGACTGGTTAAAGGGATTTCCCACAGTCAGAGGTTTCTTCCTGTTAAAAGGGAGTTTTTCCCTCTCACTGTCTTTCTTTAATTTACAATGTAAAGTACGTTGAGGCAACTGGTGTTGTGGTTTGGCGCTACAGTGGGGCAAAAAAGTATTTAGTCAGCCACCGATTGTGCAAGTTCCCCCACCTAAAATGATGACAGAGGTCAGTAATTTGCACCAGAGGTACACTTCAACTGTGAGAGACAGAATGTGAAAAAAAAATCCATGAATCCACATGGTAGGATTTGTAAAGAATTTATTCGTAAATCAGGGTGGAAAATAAGTATTTGGTCAATAACAAAAATACAACTCAATACTTTGTAACATAACCTTTGTTGGCAATAACAGAGGTCAAACGTTTACTATAGGTCTTTACCAGGTTTGCACACACAGTAGCTGGTATTTTGGCCCATTCCTCCATGCAGATCTTCTCGAGAGCAGTGATGTTTTGGGGCTGTCGCCGAGCAACACGGACTTTCAACTCCCGCCACAGATTTTCTATGGGGTTGAGGTCTGGAGACTGGCTAGGCCACTCCAGGACTTTCAAATGCTTCTTACGGAGCCACTCCTTTGTTGCCCGGGCGGTGTGTTTTGGATCATTGTCATGTTGGAAGACCCAGCCTCGTTTCATCTTCAAAGTTCTCACTGATGGAAGGAGGTTTTGGCTCAAAATCTCACGATACATGGCCCCATTCATTCTGTCCTTAACACGGATCAGTCGTCCTGTCCCCTTGGCAGAAAAACAGCCCCATAGCATGATGTTTCCACCCCCATGCTTCACAGTAGGTATGGTGTTCTTGGGATGCAACTCAGTATTCTTCTTCCTCCAAACACGACGAGTTGAGTTTATACCAAAAAGTTCTACTTTGGTTTCATCTGACCACATGACATTCTCCCAATCCTCTGCTGTATCATCCATGTGCTCTCTGGCAAACTTCAGACGGGCCTGGACATGCACTGGCTTCAGCAGCGGAACACGTCTGGCACTGCGGGATTTGATTCCCTGCCGTTGTAGTGTGTTACTGATGGTGACCTTTGTTACTTTGGTCCCAGCTCTCTGCAGGTCATTCACCAGGTCCCCCCGTGTGGTTCTGGGATCTTTGCTCACCGTTCTCATGATCATTTTGACCCCACGGGATGAGATCTTGCGTGGAGCCCCAGATCGAGGGAGATTATCAGTGGTCTTGTATGTCTTCCATTTTCTGATGATTGCTCCCACAGTTGATTTTTTCACACCAAGCTGCTTGCCTATTGTAGATTCACTCTTCCCAGTCTGGTGCAGGTCTACAATACTTTTCCTGGTGTCCTTCGAAAGCTCTTTGGTCTTGGCCATGGCGGAGTTTGGAGTCTGACTGTTTGAGGCTGTGGACAGGTGTCTTTTATACAGATGATGAGTTCAAACAGGTGCCATTCATACAGGTAACGAGTGGGGGACAGAAAAGCTTCTTACAGAAGACGTTACAGGTCTGTGAGAGCCAGAGATTTTCCTTGTTTGAGGTGACCAAATACTTATTTTCCACCCTATTTACGAATAAATTCTTTACAAATCCTACCATGTGAATTCATGGATTTTTTTTTCACATTCTGTCTCTCACAGTTGAAGTGTACCTCTGGTGCAAATTACTGACCTCTGTCATCATTTTAAGTGGGGGAACTTGCACAATCGGTGGCTGACTAAATACTTTTTTGCCCCACTGTATATGAATTGGATTGAATTGAAAGCAGCACAGCTTTACCAGATTTAGCTTCCATGCGATATAGAGAGTCGTGGTCGTAATTCTTCTGCTGGTGGTTATTTCAAAGAGGTAGTTAGCTGGTGGCAGTTTGTGCTTCCTTCACATGCTGCACTTCCCTTTTTCACTTTCACTCTTAAACTCTGTCTCGCCCTGATGAACTTGGTTGTCATGGCTTTAAAGCGTGTCAAATTGTTTCTGTGTGCCAAAAACCCCCAAAGGCAGCGAATAGTTTAATATTTCCCGGACATTTCTCTTCATTATTATCACTATTTCACTGCTGCTCAGAATGTCAGAGCTCTAACTTCAGCTATGAGGAAAGTGCGATCTTGATGATAAGCTTTTTACTTTTAAATGAATGGTAGCTGGTCAGTGGTATGTAGCCATGTAGATAATGATGATTTTGTCAGTTCATTTTTTTGCTGCAGTCATAGTGGATTTCATTTGTTTAGCCTTAAGACGAGAAATGATTAAGAGCTCGGGAGTATACGTGTAAAGGTGAATATCTTAAGATCTCGGCAGATAAACACAAGATACTCTATATAGCTCGATACCGAGAGAGGCAAGTCAGAAAATATGATTTATTGGTGCCACTTACAGTTACAAAATAGCCAAAACACACACGTCTGTTTCACTGTGGCTTAAATTCCAGTGTTTTAATATCACTGCTAATGTGTCTACATATGATCTTGCCTGAGTATTGCTGTTTGTGTATTGCTGTTTGTTGTCAGAAGATTTACAGTATACAATGTGTTAAGAAGAAACTGACTTACTTTACAAAAAAACAACAACCCCTAAGCTAGTACTTATTTATTAAATGCAATACAATGTCTGTATATGGGCCTGGTCTGATTATAATGAAGCAAAAGCTAAAAGTATGCCAATGGAAATAAATATATTTTTATTTTTTCTGTCTTCTAAAATGGTCACTGAGTATACTTAATTTATTGTGTATTAAAAATCTTATATTTTGCATTTAAGGTGCCCTGCGTGTTCTTTCTGGTTAAAAGAGCTTTGATCAAATCAAATCAAATCACTTTTATTGTCACATCACATGTGCAGGTACATTGGTACAGCACATGTGAGTGAAATTCTTGTGTGCGAGCTTCACAAGCAACAGAGTTGTACAAAATACAATAATGTAAACTTCAGATCTTCAGATTATCTTGTGTAAAATTGTTTGTAATAATAACCACTTTAGATCGTATTTTTGATCCTGATTCTTTGTTCTGGTGCCTTATTTGCGTGTCTGAAATAGGGTCAGTTTGTTTCAAGTCTGCCTAAAAACAACACCCAGATGCTTACAGGTAGTAGGCATACCTTCAGGGGTCTAGTGGAGTACACGACTCAAACTCAGCCGTCAGCAAAAGGGGGGCCGACATGACTGATCAGTGTATCTATTGATTGTAGATCTTGACAATGCCACGCCTGCCTTGCCATGAATTTTCTTGACTTATTTAAATGTTGTTTTTCTCATCTAGGGAAATAATTCTATCATCATGTACTTCTGTTGGCTTCTGGCTGAGCTAGTCAGCACATTCCTTCTTTATAAGAGTGTACAGGATGGTTTGGCCAGTCCTAATGCTTTTGCTATCTCTCTGATAAATTTGTTTGAGTTAAAACTCAGATAATTGGATGGAACCGTAGTTTGCTCACCTCAATGGACCCAGCACTGACGTCCTGGATGGAGGAAGGTAATAAAGCTCTTTAGGTAAAGTCAGATCAGCTGCGCAACTACCCAACTTAAAACTGTCACGTAATCCTTGGAGAAGAAAAGATGGTACTGGGATTTTTTTTTTTTATATGTATGTTAAGCTGCGTTAGAGGTCCAGCATGCTCCATTAAACCAAACTATTTCAATATCAGCATTGATTTAGTCATTGGAAGCACAGGTCTAATAAAGTAACCTCAGGAATAATCATATTATTGCATACGTTTTCTTTATTTAAAGGTTATTCAAAGGTTATCACCCTAACTAATCGACTAAGCAAATAGACTACTGGCATAGATGTGACTGGGAATAAAACCGCAAGAAAAAAGGAATAGTTGTCCTTTGTGTCTTTTTCATGCTATCCAGTTCATTATTCTAGTTTGGGCAGAAGCTGAATAGACAATTTTTCAACTTTGAACTGTTGATTTCTTGGAATCTACTCCATATTTTTTTTCTATATAAATTATTACTGCAGATTAAAGAAGGGAAATGTCTTCACTTTAAGTACAGAAAAAAAATGTTAAAGAAACTGTCACAGTAAAAGTTTGCATTTTATTGGTAAAGAAAAAAAACCCAAAAACGATAGAGATGCATACAAATTATAATCTACATTTAGACCACCTCGGTCAGCGGCCTACACGTACAAAGAAAAACCCGAAAACAACCCCAAAGGACAATTAAGTCTCACAGTCAACGTGTTACACTAAAAGGGTTCACTAATTTTACTATACTGATTAGTTTTATGGGTTCTTGGTTTGGCCAAACAGAAAACGCACCCTTTCATACTTAAAGCTACTAAGATGTGACACATGAAAAATAAAATTACGTCAATTCAAGAAGCAGGACTGCAGAAATGTGTACTTTGTTTTAAATGTTTGACATCGCACTCCCGAATTTCTTTATAAAAGAAACCTCCAATATGTTACATAATGGTCAAATGGTTATCTCACAAAAAGTTAACACATAATTCTGTTTCCGGATAACGTATGGGTGTTTAACAAACAAAAAAACTCCCCCTAAAAACAAGACTGTGGGGAGGAGCAGGTTGTTCAGGGGTTCCTGACCATGGAATGTTTTTAATCAAGAAATAAAAATGGTGTGTGCTATGAGGAGGCCTGAGGTTTTTAAAAAACAAAACAAAAACAAAAAAAATAAAATGTAGAATTACAAAAACAAACCACAAAAAATAATCATCCAATTCCTCTAAATGATGCGACTTTCTACCGATAATGACGAGGTGGTGGGCTGTGGTGTGGCGGAAGGTGTCTTCTCGGAGGTGGGCTATGCCGTGACATAGCATGGCGTGGGGGCGACTGGTAGCGCGCAGGGGGAGATCTTCTGTTATAGTAAGGAGAATAGCGACCTCTGGATCTGGAACGGGATCGTGATCGATCCCAGTTGGGAGTACCTCTTTCCTCATACACACGGATATAAGCCGTCTCCCCCTAACAAGAAATAACGAAAGAATTACACGACATCAGCTGCAGTTTATCATCAGAGGAACGATTAAATCTCACCATCACTAACACTAACCTGATGTGAACGGAACTCTGTCCCATCCAGTCTACGCAGTGCATACTCCATGTCCTCTCTACGGAGAAATTCCACTACACCCTCTCCGTCACGCTGCACATCTGCAAAACAGACATCTCCTGCTTCCCGCATGTGATCCTTCAGATCCTGCCAGCTTCCAGATGGTGGCAGTCCTGGAACAGGAAATGACTAAATGATGGTGTGGACAAAATATACTTCCCTGCTTAAATTTACCTGACACTTTAAACCTAAAATCTTAGCAGGAAAGGGTTTCATTATTTCTCCAAAGTGCAACTCTTTCTTTAATTCATTATTTGTATACAGTCTGACCTTTACACCTCTTGAAACCTAAAGAAGATGGAGAAGTGGAAGACTTTGCATTTCCCCTGCCTTTAAATTTCTAAAAATGCCAGGAATGACACAACCTGGTTAATGTTAAAACACTATAAAGCTAAGACCTGGATTTGTGGTCTGTCTAAGGTGTTACCTATTCAGCACCAAGTGTTAATTTACACTGTCTTTAATCATTAACACTTTCCATGCACAGCAGTTACTTATTAATGCCAAACCCACAGTTGAAAATACTGAGATGGTCAATCATCCTTATAACCAGTAGGAAAAAACTAATTGACTTTTTCAAGTCTCCTGACTGATAAGTCCACCCACTTCTCCACCCAGTGTTTTAGGTGAACTACAGAAACATTTGACAAAGCACATAACATAATTAATGATACACAATGACAAAATGACACCTACCATCACTATAGCCGGTGTTTGGGGTTACTCAGCCAACATGACCGGTTTCACTTTACTGTTTTGATTTTCATGACCTCATCCACTTAGTCCCTTTGACTTCCAATCCGCCATGAGAGAGAGAAACATATCTGCCTATGACTCATGACGTCCTCAACTAGTCCCCTTGTCCTCCAGTCCGCCATGAGAAAGAGAGAATGATCTGCCTACGACTCATGACGTCCAGCTACCAGTCCCCTTGTTCTCCAGTCCGGCATGCGAATGGGAGAAAGTTATCTGCCTAAGACTCCTATGTCCACTTTCCTACCAGTCCCCTTGATTTCCAGGCCGTACCGAATGAGAGAGTAATATTAATTGGCTACGACTCATGGCGTCCACCTACCAGACACTATGACCCGGAATTCAGATCTTCGAGTTGGGGGTCCAAACCTTCCTCTAGGTGCTCCTCCACCACCTCCCATTGGGCCAGGTTTAGAACGGGGATACTCCACACGCAGCTTGGAGTCCCCATATCCATATCCATTCCTTCCATAGACCGCATCATCTGCATCCCTAAGAGAAGAGAGCAAAGAACTCCTTACCAAAGTACGCCTAGCGGACAAAGGTTGGATATCTTGTCTCCATCCATTCCCTGCCGGCAGTCACTGGAGACGATATACCACAAAATTTATGGTGTCCAACAAGGAGGAGTGTGATTCGAGTTGCCAAAAACCATCCGCAAAACTCACCGTGGGTCTTCAAATCGGACGAAGGCAAAAGGGATAGTGCCTCTATTGTTCTTCAATTCTATTTCACGAATTTTTCCATATTTGTAGAAGAGATCCTCAATGTCTCTCTCCTGGACATCCATGGGAAGATTCCCCACATAGATCCGACCATCAGACATGTTGGCTGAGTAGGCGACACTGCTGACACAAAAGAAGGGGGGCACCTGCAGACTTTTAGAGATCACTTCTTGCTTTCACAAATAGCTGTGGAAGTGGTCCTTAATCATATTCCTAGTCCCAATCCAAAACTTAGTCCATCCGCAGACAATTCCTTAATTTACACAAGAATAAAGCTTTAAAGAAGGGATGAAGCCGTGATAGAAGTAAATGATGGGCTCAAGGAAAAAAAAAAATGGCACAGGACTTCGGATCCAAGCCTGAAAACTTTAAAAACACAGTGTAATGAATGTCCAACCATTTCAGTGATTACAGATCTGTTCTCTTTAAAGTGAGATTATAAGCATACTGTGGGAAAAAAATTTACTTCAAAAACAATCTTTTCTATGCCTTTAACCTTTTTGTTTTGTTTTATGTGGATTAAGCTAGCATGCAATTCTGTGTGTACTAAAAAATGTATTTTGCAAAACCTTTTAAAAAATGTCTTTATATTTTTCCTTGGAAAATAGGAAATATGTGCCAACCTAAATGGAAATTTCAAAACCGTATACAAGGCAAAAATGTCTGTAGAATTCTAATGACCTTGAAAGTCAATATTTGATATGACCAACTTGATCCTTGAACACAGTCTGAACTCTCTGAGGGATGTTTTCTTAAAGTAGTCTTCAGGAATAGTTCTCTAGGCTTCTTGAAGGACATTCAAAGCTCTTCTTTGGATGTTGGCTGCTATTTATTCCATTCTCTGTGAAGATGATCCCATACTTCTTCAATAATGTTGAAGTCCAGGCTCTGGAGAGGCCAGTGTGTTTTTCTGTCCAGGTATGTTTTTACTGCATTGGCAGTGTGTTTGTTATCAGTGTCATGCTCAAAAATGAAGCCGCTAACAATCAGCTGTTTTCTGATTTTACGTTATTTTCTGTGTTTATCATTTCACAAATTTTTCAAAGAACTCCAGCCAACACCACTGGCTGAAATACAGCTGCAAACCATGACAGAGCCTCCACTATGTTTTACAGATGGCTACAGACACTTACTGTTGATGGACTGTGACATCCTCCTTTCAACCAAAAACTTCAAATTTGGATTCCTCGCTCCAGAAGACCTGTTGCTACTGATTTTTAATCCAGTCCTTGTGTAATTTGACATACCTCAAACTCTTTCTCCCCTTTCTCTTTCCCCCTGTATAAGAATGGCTTCTTACAGCCATCCTTCCACTGAGACCATTTCTGTTGAACCTTCAGTGAACAGTACATAGATCACCTGAAGGTCCAGATGTATCTTTCAGGTCTGACACAGTTCTTTGGTGGATGGATTTCTTCAAGACATGACCTTCAGATCCTGTAGATATACATATTTGGTGGGGGTAAGATTTGCCACTTCTTTGGCCCTCCAGTTTCCTCTCTTTTTTAAATGGACACACTGAACACCATGCACAAATTTCAACTAAGAGCTCTTTGGTAATCACTTTGTTGGTGCCTAGATACTATTTCATGTCTGTCAAACTGTGTTATTGTTGGTGTTTTTCATGAATTCAACAAAAGAAATAGGAACACCTGTGTTTTAATGACATGCTGATATAATACAGTGTCAAAAATACAATTTTAAACTGCTTCTTTGTTAAGTGTATTGTTATCCATAGACATAACACTATTCAAAGAAAAACACTGACTTTCAGAAAACCTGGAGGACTATTTCTCAAGACCACTTTAAAAATTACAAGGAAGTCTAGCTCAAAGCAAAATATAAAGAAATGATGGGCAGCGCAACACTTTCTTATATTTCTACTTGTAAAAAAAGGGAGCCAATAATATGAAAATTGTTTGACGCTTAGTTGGGAGGGCACACCTCCAAAGCAGCACAACAATATGGAAAACGCATAAGAAAACTGTTCCAGCTTAATGCAGCTCAGTGACTACAACCATGCTATGAAGGTAGGTGATAAAGACACATATAGAGCACTCACTAGTTGCGCTCCATATGACATGCAAAATAAATGGTGGATGAAACTAGTTAAAAAGCTCCGTTTCTATTTTATTAGGTTACAACACTCCAAAGGGTCCTGATGAGCAGTTATGCTATCTTTTCACTTCAACTTTCTCAGGAAAGCACCACGCCACCGGCTGTTGGTCTTACATTTGACATATACTGTGTAACAACTAGTCTATTGCAGTGCTGCTGCTGGCACCTTGTGGCAATAGACACACAGTTTGAATCATGTAGTCCGTGATCTATGACGGCAGCTCACTGGAAAAAGGCTAAAAATTCAGATTGTTGCTTTTACACCAATAAGTGCTGTATTTTTGCCCATACTATCACAAACATAATTATTACAAAATTACTTTGAAAAATCGCAATATTATCATGAGACTGTCGCCGTCCAATGTGCATTATTCCAGACTGACACTACTATTACATTTTTCTGTAAACTCAGGCTGGTGATTTTAAAAGCTGCCGCATAAAATTTACATACAAACCCAGCATATTGAAACAAAATGTAATATTCATAAAAACGGTGTTTTGGTGGCTGTCATACAGCTGCTAACAGGTGTTTTCCGTACCCTATACGTTTACCTGGACTTGAAGGCGTTTCCGGGGCCTTGAAAACCCCGTTTAATCGAGCAGTTGCTGAACCTACCAAACCTGTTTAACGTCCCATAGCTGAACAACTGCGATCTGACCTCAATTTAATCTAAAATTCGAGAGCTCCTGGTTAGCATTACCGCTTAGACACTACAGTCCAGATTCGTTCCAGCCATTCAAATTTGGCTTTGCCCTAAAATATCACAGTGGCTACTGCTAAAGTAGTCATAGCTATTGTTAGCAACAGGCGGCTGTAAACGAGGGGTTGCTTACATTAAAAGCAGTTCAGGTATTTTCCTTTCTTTCTTTTGTTTTTTTTTTAAGTCTTGTAACACGGCCTCTGGAGTCGACCCATTCAACTTGACCTTTATATCTAGAAACTAACCCCTAGCTTATAATTTGCACACCAGCAATTGCGAAACCAGCGCAGTCCCTTTGTTGGTAACGTAAGGTCGATCAGCGAGTCAGGCTAAAAAGACTCTGGGTCGGCTACAATTTGCTAATATTTATCGCTTTCAGAGAGCGCATAATAAATGCATATGGTAAAAAAAACAAACTTAAATTAATAAATGTCTCTGATTACCTTTTAGAGCAGGTAAATGTGCCTGTTTGTAGAATTAATGCAACCAGTTAGCACACTCTGCTGCTTCCGCGTAAGTTAGCACATTTACGGGAGATGGCTGCGTTCTTCTTCTACAGCTTTTGATTTCCGGCAGACAGTAGCCACTGTTACATCATTGCTGCCCCCTGCTGCTGGGAGAAGTTGTGGTGACGATCAGTGAGCAGCAGCCGAGCGTTACAATAATGTTTGCTTTGAGAGGGTTGTTGGAGCAGTAGAGAGAAGATTAGAAGAACACGTGCGCGGTGTCTTTGTGGACCTAGAGGAAATATATGATAGAGTGCCAAGACAGGAGTTGTGGTAGTACACAGGAAGTCAAGAGTGGCAGAAAAAATATATATATGTGAATATGCACTTGACTTTATAGTTGGTCTGAGACTTACTAAAACAAACAAACAAACAAACAAACAAGAAAAGGAAAATAAAATAATCAATTTTTCCCCTAACCTTAATTTTGAGTTATAAAGTCAAGTTTTGAGATGACCAAAAAAAACAAAAAACAAATAAGCTTTTATACGAAACTGAGAGGGACTAAAATTGAGAACACTGACTGCTTTATTTTGTAACACAAACTAGTTCTCATTTCTATCCTCTGAATTAAAAGTTCATTATTAATTTAATTTTAATAGAGAGAGAGAGAATATCAACTTAAAATCTAGAAAAATTTTCACATTACATAAAAGCTATAAACTGATTTGCACATCATAGAGTGAAATAAGTATTTGATCTTCAAGAAAACACAAGTACCTGGTGGTGTTGCTAAGCAAGGAGATAAAGCGTTTCTTATAGCTGGTCACCACATCTGCACACATCTCAGGAGGGATTTTGGTTGACTTCTCTTTACAGAAACATTTAGGTTTCTTGGCAGGTGTTTGCAACTTGAAGCTTCAGCGTCAAAGATTTTCTACAGGATTTAGGCTGGCTACCCCCCCCTTTCTTTTCATGTAAGATTTTATGGTACATGCCCACCCCTCCAGTGGCCCCCTCCATGCAGCAAAGTCATCCTGTAATCCTTAGCAGAAAAACAGTATGTTTCCACCTCGATCCTTGATTGTGGGTCATACTTTCTCTTCCTCCACACACAGTGGGCTGAGTTAAGTTTGGTTTCATCTGACCGCAGCACTTTCTCCCAAGCCTTCTCTGACTCCTTAAGATGTTCACTAGCCTGCACATGTGCCTTGTTCTGCAGGGGGACCTTGCTGGTACCATACAGTGTTATCAGTATTACCATGGTCACAACTGCCTTCAGATGATTAACAAGCTCCTCCCATGTAAATGGCCTGCATTTGTATAGCGCTTTACACTACATTCAGTCATCCACCCATTCACACACAGGCAATGGCAAGCTACATTGTAGTCACACAGCTGCCCTGGGGCGCACTGACAGAGGCCGGACACTGGCGCCACCGGGCCCTCTGACCACCACCAGTAGGCAAACATGGGGTTAGTATCTTGCCCAAGGAGAGCCAGGAGGCAGCCTGGGATCGAACCACCGACCTTCTGATTAATGGCTGACCTGCTCTGCCACCTGAGCTACAGCCAACTGGGTTGTAGGCAATCAAATACTTCTTCGCTGAATGACATGCAAATCAACTTTTATGTAATGTCTTTTTTTTCTGGATTTTTGCTTTATATTCTGTCTCTCTGCATTAAAATCAAATGGCCAAATAATGAGGGACTGTTCACAAACTGGATCAAATAACTATTACCCTCAGTATAAGGCCTCCTGCTTCTCTTAAACCATCTGCTTCTCTTACTACACGACGGGGGAGTTTTTCAGGTTTTTCACTGGAATGAGGCCCGTGGTTCTTGCGTGATGCCTATCGGGGACGTGATGTAACAAGTGAGGCAGGGCGCCACCTCCCGATTCTGACATACCAGAGCGCGCTCATTACGCAACACTCCAAATATCCAATCGGCAAAGAAGTCTGCCGGTCTCAGTCTGCGTGCAGCTGCCGCTCAGAAAGGCGAAGAAGGCATGTCGTACACTAAGTTTGTAGCACCCTTGGTCAGGGCAAACTCCGGCAGCATCCGAAAACTGCGGATTTCCCCTGCGAGATGCCGCTCAACAGTCGCATCCACCAAAACTCGAGAAGAGAAGGAGCAGCAGCAGCAGCAGAAGACGAATGGCTGCACCGTGGTAGAGGCTGCGCCGGTTGAACTCATCAGCCAGTCTAGAAAAGCTACCAAAGCTCCGCTGAGTAAAACCCACATCGACTTCGAAAACACACAGGAAGCCTATAAGAGCAAAGGTAATATTGAGCTGCTCCGGAGTCTGTTGGTCTTCAAGCTGTGTACGTTTGACATCCTGGTTGACAAGAACAAAGAGGTGAGTTGACGGGACTGATCGGCCCGATAACGCATCCTCTGTTAACCCTACACACACGTGCGTTCAGATCAGCACCAAACCGGTGCACCGCTTTACCAAAGCTCAATGAACTCTCCGCGTTGGCGCGCTATGAATGTGTTTCCGCTTTTGACTCGCCGAGGTGAAAATGAAAAAGGGGCTGTAAACCACTCAGGCAGAGTAACCTGTTGTTTTTCTTGTCCCTGTCATGTTTTCAGCTGATGGATCTGAGCAGGAAGCTGCTTGGACAGTGGATGTTTGAGAAGCTGATGAAGATGACCTTCTATGGGCAGTTTGTGGCAGGGGAAGACCACAACTCCATCAAACCGTTAATTCGGAAAAATGAGGCCTTTGGTGTGGGGGCAGTTTTGGACTACAGCGTGGAAGAAGACCTGACACAAGAGGAAGCGGAGAAGAAGGAGATGGAGTGAGTAGCAAATACACACGTAGGCGGATTTCTCCTTAAGGACTGTGGTGCGCACAACTTTGCAAATGCCATATAAGATAAGAGATAAGATAAACCTTGATATATGTGTGTGTCAGATGAGATTTAGTGAGCTGCATACCCAGGATTGTTCAGCTCACTAAATCCATAAAAGCCAGCTGAGTCAAGTTTATTTTGTATGGCACAACATCACATGGTGTCATCACAAGTGTGTAACTGCACCACATAAAAACCCAGAGAAATCAGAAAACTGTGGAAGAGAGGTCCTCTCCATTACTTGTCTCCATGTGTGGCTGTAATAGGAGCCGCACACTAGAAGAGCAGCTCCAGGACTGAAAAAAAATCACAGTAATGGATATTTTAGCAGTGTTAGTACAACAAGTTCATTAAAAGACTGAGAAACTGTAGTACGTGTATTACCTGATTTGTATTGATATCTTTAATAGTGAATTAAATGAGTAATTTGACTGTTAGTTTCCACAGAAGTATTTAGGTCTATGTCTCCATGCATATAGCTCATGTTTTAGAGCCTCTCCTCTCATTTTGCCTCTTCTCTTCGGCACATTAACTAACCATATGCACATATGAAAAAATGTAGTTGTGATATTTGAAATGCTCTTGGTTAACCATTGCCTGTGTCTCTGTACTAAGTTGTCCCTCTGGAAATTATCACTTAAGTTCAAGTTATGTGTCCTACTTGAGTGTCAAAACTATTCCTCCGGGCTGCACTTTGATATCAGTGTCCTCTTATCTTATCACCTCACAGACGGCTTCTGTTAGGCTTTTTATCAAAGCAGTGCCAGTCATAACATATAATGCTTTATAATCAAAACCTAATTTGTTTGTGTTATTCTCAGGCAGTTCAACAGTGCTTGTCCTCTATTGGCTCGCTAAGACAGGCCTCCCTGCTCTGATTGGTTGAGCCAGTTTTTCAGAGATGGGATGGGCATCATTGAAAGGCCTCATGGGTTGCCATGAGAGTTGCTTTCAGGAGGCACATTGAGGCACACTAGCAAGTGTTACACAATATTCTGTGATTTAAAATACCCACAGTGCTCTACTTAGGACTATCCCAACACACACAAACAGACACAGGAGGAACTAAACTGCTTTTTCTGATAAAGACCAATGATGCCTCATCATGCTAACTAACAGATGCTAACACTAAGGATATTTCCTCTGTACTTTTTTTTTTTTTACAAGTTCTAAAAAAAAATCTGTTAGTTAATTTAAAAAAACAATCAAAAATCTAGTTTTGATTTTTATTTTGGTTAACTAAAATGTTCTTTCAAATCAAGTTTTAGTTTTTAGTTTAGTTTTAGTTCACCTTGGCTATTTGCCTTTGTTCCCCAATGCGTCTCTCACGTCGCAACATAACTTGAAAAGCAGGTCATTGTCACGGTTGCATAAGATTTCATTGTGACTGTTAAAAGAACGAAACAGTGCTTTTTATCATCATGTCATCTGTCTTTTTGAAACTTTTCAGACTTTCCGCTATTCATTGTCTTATTACTGTTAGTATGCTGTGTTATAAAAGTTGCTATTGATCTGACTGAAAGAAACAAAGATGAGACAAATTTTCTGTTGCCTTGTTTTTTTTTTTACTGTTCTAATGACAATTTTTTTTTTACAGTTCATGTGTTTCTGAGGCAGAGAAAGAAAGTCCAGGTATGTGTGTCAGTAAAAAACAAAACTAACAAACTTTATTTTATTTTTTATTTTATTTTGCATACGTCTCTGACTAAAGAACTGCCGTGGAGTAAGCTGACAAGGCTGAGCTGCTGACTAGTCAGCTGCTTCAGCTGTTCGGTGGTTTAGTATGCATAGTTATGCATCCACGTAGTCTAGTCAGGATGTTACTGGTTATAACTGGATCTTGTGGGGGCTGAAATGTCAAGTTCAACAGACACTGCGGGGTGAAGCTGGGTAGTGTTTAAGGGGTTGATATTTAATGTGTTTGTGTATCATTTACCTGTTGGCAATCACTCTGAGACAAACTTATTTTATACTTACTTCAAATCAGTCTTTGTGGGAGCTGAATTAAAAGTGCTAATGTGTTACATGCACATTGATTTGCAACCAGAGTGGCTAGTTTTAAATGAATAAAGTAAAGCTTGTTTTTGATATCTATTGTGTTCTCAGTAATTGTAACAAACTAAAAAAAAATGCTCCCCTTTAGGATGGAATTCCTTCTGATGAAAATCCATTCACGTTGTAGGATAAATGATAGCAGTAAAACTGCTTCTCTTAAATCAAATGCAATCAGTTAAGGCAGCATTATAGCCATCGTGTTACTTCAGGGCTCTCGGATTCGTCGGAGCTCTCCAATGACCATCCCGGATTTTCCACTGCCTCCTTTTCCTCCCTCGGTTTTCACAAACACATTTGTCTCTATTACAGTTACATCATCTGCAAAGCTTAAAAATAAAACACATGCACCTCCAGGATTTTATGCAAGAGGTATCTTGCATGCTATCTAGGTCCCGAATAAAGCTGACTTCTTTGGGGGCAGTCACTGATGCAAGAGTAAAGAAATCATGATTTCTAATTTCTAATCTTCTGGTCAATATTATTTTTATATGTAAGTATGTGTGTGTGTTAGAATTACATTGTCTAGCCCTATGAGTAGTTCAAATTCCTAATTAAATATTTATTGGTAACTTGAACAAATTTATCATTTTATTAAGGCATTTTTTAAAATACATATAGTTGTTATTAATTGTTGCATGTGTGACGATGTTCATGCAAACTTTCGTTCAGATTGGGCCACCTGTTAAGGAAGAGCTTGGGTACATACAGGCATTATGAGCAAGGGAAATGGTTATTGGTCAGCCAGGTTTTCAGAATCTATTTCACAAATTTTTTAGCAAGTTATCAAGAAGACACCACTTTTCTCTGCACTGCATTCTCTATATCTGTGATGCTCCACTGCTACATGTGCTCCACACATGAGCTATATAATAATAACAACAATCCTAAATTCCCTCAAAAATCTTGTTCTTATTTGCACATATAGGACAAAATATGCACTGGATACCTTTGATAGACCATTATAGTTGCATAGTAATGATGTGTTGTTTAGGCTCTAAATCTCCTTTGTATGTGAATTG